TTGCATTTTAGTAGATGTTGTTGGCGTTTATTGATATGAAAAAGAATGTTTTTAATTGCATTCTTGGTGTCCCAGCCATGGAGATTGATGAAGCCTGATTTGGAGACACCAGGTACTGTTACAATAAAGAAAATTTATTTCGAGGCACAGAAATCCAACACCTGAATTTGATTTTTGGAAAGCCATAAACCCCGAAGATTTCGGCACACAGGTGTCGCACCAAGAGCAAGTGTCCGTTAGATTCGTATCAGAAGCACATGAGTCATCGGTTCTGGAGTACGTGATAAATTCTATCTCCACCGACCTCCCAAGTTAGCTCATAAGTTTTTTCTCATTATCCAACTGCGCTACGAGCATGCCTTATGTCGGCGTTTGTAGTCAGTTGCATTTTATGTTCGCTGCAAAATGTATAGAAATCTGACAAATAGGATAATAGTTTTAGTCTACGTAATTATTTCTTTTCTATATAGATTTTACTTGTTTGTACTAGCTAATTTACTACGATCAAGACGTGACATTGAGATAGTGGGAGAAGAATTGTAGGAGTTCATCGGGCAGAATGCCGAAAATAGCAGTTTTATTTCTGTGCAAATTATAACAATCTTTTCCCTATAATTAGTAATTCAAATTGAATATCTTCGTAAAAATAATTTATTTAATAATCCGCAATTTATTTCACTGTGCGTCAGTTCGTTACTGAATGAATGAAATCTATTTGAAATAATAGAAAAAAACTTTTTCTTTGCTCTTCATAATAATAATAATAGTCATCTTCATTGATTGGGTCCGAGTTTATCGCGATTCATTGTCCTGTTAGTGTACATGCCAGAGTTTGAGGTGATAGAGACTGAATTTCAGTATCAGTGTGAAACTTAACACTAAGATATAAATGCAACCAGCTAATGAGTCCTAGGTGAAATCGAATGGCGTGCTCTGAATTTCCATGCTAGCCATCGTTTAAATATTGAAGGCAAATAAAGTTTTCAGTAATTAATCAACGGAGTTTTTGTATTTTTCCTTATAAATAGTACAAGGAAAGGTATACAACATAAAATATCGCTAATTGTTTTATTAAATTTTATTAAAGTCTTTCTCACCAGACTATTGGAATCATTGTTCAAAACTATTAAATATACCATTCACTGTAAACTGGAAAAATTGTACAGTTGATGATTTAATGAAGGATACTAAGAATAATTTATTGAAACAAAAGTATAAATTAGAAGAAACTTGGAAAATATTTCAATACTTACAGTCTATTCAACAAATAAAAGCAACAATTGCTAGTGAATTCTTATCATTAAATATTCAATTTATTTCAATGAATTCACATTCACAATTGATTAAATCTGTCCATTCATCATTTCTAAATGAATATATTGAACAAACGAACCAGGTAGTAGTATATTCATAAATTTAAAATGTTTTTATGTCTTTATCTTTTGAAGTTTTGTTTAAATTTCCAATGCAACAAGAGTGATGAAATCATGTGATATCCGTAATTTATAGTTTAGTAGACCTGTAAATTTACAAAACACTGGCAGTTTTATGAAAGACGTTTTAATTATTATCTGTCTCTTAAAGAAAAATGTTTTCACGAATGCTATGGAGTGAATGGAACTGAACTACTTACTGTGGACGAATAAAAAAGTACCTATGCGTGTACATAAATTGGTGATTATATCAGAACCAAACCAAACGAGGTCTATTAGACGGCCTATTAAACCTGCGTTAAGCGGTTTGACCACTCAGGAAATAGCTAGTGGAATTTAGGTCAGTGTAATGGTCTCTTCCTAAAACTTTGATCGCGGAACAAGCCATCATTTGCATAAGATGAAAAAATCTGGGTATATTAATTCTCTGTGATGCTGATGCTTTCCGGTCAAACGGTTCACAATTACAGCATCCAGCATAGAAGATGAAAACCACTAAAATTTATTGTACACAGTTAACTGCAATTCAAATCACAACTCAGAATTATAAAAAAGATGAAAAAATTATTTTAATTGAACAAACACACTTGTTAAATCATTGAAAAATTGGTTGAATAAGAACGGATCTTTCTAAATAATTTCTTCTTTGAAGCTAATTCAATGTATGTTTATCTAAGCTTTGAATAGTGTATAAATAAATTGGTAATTTGTAGGTTATACTCACCACATACCGATTATCTTTGGAATATCATTTAAAAAAACTAACGAAACATTGGATGGTTAGATACAAAGTTTTCGCATTTCATCAAGAACACTATCATCGGCTTACTGTGCTTATGTATTCTAATAAAACATTTGTAAAGTACTCTCTAGTTTTTAATAGTATCCAAAGTAAGATTAGCTCGTAATGGAAATAATCTATAAATTGAATCGACTTCGATAAAATAATTTCAAAACAAATTGAACATGTCATCTTTTTGAAGAATATTACGGTTTAATCTTCGAACTAGTACGTTGAAAATGCTGATCATCTACTGTAATTTCAAAAAGTTACAATATAGTTCTTGTTTTGAGTAAGGATATTTTCACTCTTTTATTTATAGTGAAAGGAAAGTTTGTAGCATAAAGAGGAATGTGAATGTGCTTGTTCAGTGGATAACAATCAAACGCGCTGTTCATGTTACTTAAGGTCTTGTCAGCTGCATATGAAAATTACCAACATTTCAGTCTAATCTATTTCATTCAAATCGAATTTAAAAAGTTTATCTAAAACTCATTGTTTTGCACTTAAATATGAAAAGACATCATTTAAGCATCTTCTAGAGTGAACCTTTTCCTCAAAATAACAACATAATATAAAATATTGCTGTATACTGCTGTGTAGAGTGTTTCACACTTAATGTGATTTGATTCGGCATCGATTATTATCATGGTTTATTCCGAGTTAATTCTTGAAATTTGATGACAGTGGATTTATTAATGTCATTTATTGATTTTGATCTGTAGATTAGTTTTTTAAGTGTTCAATCATAATTGGCATGAAAAATGCAGCTTCTTTTTAGTCTTCTTTTATCTCACTATAGTGTATTCTGCCTGATTAAATCTTTTTTCTATCAATTTTCTATACTTTTAAATTCTTTTTTGTTTTTATTAATTACATTAGAATATTTCTGAAAGAAGGTCATTCAAAAATAAGGATTGTGCAAAAGAAATCCGATATCCTTGGATATTCTTGAATATTGATAATTTAATTGGAAAGCTCTATGAATTATCATGTAAACTCCAAGGTTTACTAGATTCTGAACATGTGAACCGAATCAAATCAAATGAAACAACAAATGAATATCTACTTGAAAATGATTACTATTTACTGAAGCAGTTAAATCAAATAAAAGATACATTATGCAATATCAAGTTAATACAAAATTATGTGAGTAATTTCATTGTATAATTTTTAACTAGGATAGAGATTTGACAAATGATTAAAATACTACTAATTGTGAAATCGATTCAATACATTGTTACATAATCTCTTTCTGTTATTCAAAAACTAACAGAAAATAGACAACTCTTGAACTATTTACTAGTGCACATCCTCTTATTTTCAACATACCAGAGTCTGTTCATCTAACAGACCTATTGTGGATATGGGTTTGACTTGACATGTATATATAATTAAATTTACAAAATTTAAACTGCCGCAGCTATCAACTATGAATATGCCACTATTTAGCCATATCTCGATATGTCGAATAAAAAAGGTCGTTAAAAGTTAATGCTTTGAATTGTATCTCGATTAAAGAAATTACACTAATGCGTAACATTCATGAAATCAATAGGAAAATAAATGAAATTATAGTATACAATACATTTAAGGAACATTGAAACCATTCGGGGCAGCTTCAGTCCATTTTGTAAATGCCAAGAATTGTCATTTTATAGCTCTTGCCTAATGTGAAGTTATGAACAGGCCACTGTCGTCACTACAGTTTTATAAAACCAATCTTGAAGATAATTGCTAGTCGAAAAGTAGTTTTTTTCTAATATTGCATTCCAAGTGTAATTTCCACCATAAACTAATGTCCGTTTAATCAAACTAAAACTGATTTAAAGTAGTTTGTGAGAGGTACACATTCGATTCATAATTATTCTCTGTAGGAGTGAGTAATCATGAAAGTAAACAAATATCTCTTTTATTCCTTTGACAAGTTATTAACTTCTCTTCTGGATAGTAAGTGTTTCAATTTCTCAATAAATGTTTTCTTTTTGTTAAAAGAAATCTACCATTTGATTAAATTCAGCGTTTTTATTCTTTTACAGTGGCTATATTTATATCGATCACATTCACTCAATCAATATACTGAAGAATGTGGCTCAAGTCAATTTATTGCATTAACTGATAATTATGCCCATTTACAAAGTAATGCTTTATTAAATGATCAAGTGATCATTGTCCAATCTATTGAATGTGAAGACAATGAACTAATTCAAATAAAATGCATTAATTTAAAATTTTTAATTGAAATTATTCATTGTCAATCGAATTTATGGTTGACATTAAAAGATGCTCTTGATGAAAGTGTTAATATGTTCGATAAATCACTTGATGAAATTACTGAAGTAAGCAAATGTTTTCATCAAGTTATCAATTGTTTGGCTAATAATTTGTATTGATAGTTGTTGATTTGTTGTACAATTATGAATTTAAATAAGTCACATTCGAAAAAACAGTATACAAATAAGTTGCAACTGGACATTTTAAATAATTTTTAGATAGACTCTTAAGCAATTCAGTGATAATGAGTCAGAGTATGATACTTCATAACATGAGTCTAAACATTGGTTTCCTCGAAACTGCAGATGAATTCGTGTCATATGATCCTTCATACTGGTTGATTTTAACGACCTCAGATTATTAAACAATCACACTTAACTTGCATTAATACTGGTTTACAAGTTAGTGAACTGAATTCAATGATATCACTGCCGAGTACAGCATTGTTTAAATCAAGGATTGACCTTAGACAGTTATTGAAGACCGGAGGAGAACTGGTAGGCTATTTTGTTCAAATGTGGGTCTCTCCATTGGTATGCATCCACCATACACCAGTGTGGATAGAAATCAGGACTCTTAGTTGTTTAATGTTTTCTGATTTGAATGATTATCTAATGAAGGTAACTACGTTATGCAAACTACAAAATTCAATAACCTTCATAAACCAAGTACACTAATACGATATTAGCTGAACCATTAGAAGAATTATATTCCTGTTGTGTTCTATACTAGTGAGTAACTTGTACAAATACGATCCCCATCAGCTAGTCGACTGAGAAGAACAAATAAGAAAGGAGGTTTGCTAAATTACCGGATCAGCATATATATATATATATATATATATATATATATATATATATATATATATATATTTATAATACCGCCAATAGTTTGTCTTATTCCCTAGAAATGAAAGGCATTTCTTGGCCAACCGCGTGAATTTGACTTTTAACCAGTTTCTGATCAGTCCAATGCATCATCTTTTCTTTCTTTAGTTACTCAGATTCAACTGATGCCACTGAAATGGGAGCACAATAAATTCATTTTCTTACAAGTTCTAAAACCTTATTCAAAGATTTACCCTGTAACCATTTGTTTTCCTTGTTTTTGTTATTTGTGAATTTAGACATTTCCACATTTTTGTTTATTGTCCAAATTGGAAAGAATTGAACTGTTAAGCAATTGGTGCATTCCATATTGTGATTATGCAGCTCCATTGAATTGTTCCATTGAAAATGACACTGATCAAGAACACAATTCATATCAGTATAATTTAAATCATAATTTAATTTATGGCGGATTAATCAATTTGAATAAATGGATAAAACGTTTATTTCCATTTCTAATTGATTTTGTAATGGTATGGTGTAGAGAAGATAAATGTTGGAAGGTCAGCAATAATGCAATAAATTTATAAATCTAACTGTTGTTTTTTCTTTTAAACATAAACAATCAACTCATCAATCATTAAAAATTATGAAGTAAAATAAAGATGATGTTATATGGCTCCGAGATTAGACACTTCAAGGTCTGTAAGAATCACGATATTATGCTGTTAGGGAATAGTTATGCTGAAGTAAGCATTTCCATGCTTCAGTCAATGTGTAGGATAAAACAATCCCAAGTTAATTTTATTTCTGAGTCACGGAATCACTCAGAATTTGGACGATTCTATAGGGTACGGGTTATCATCAAATTGAAAATCTTGGTAACATTTTGAAAACAATAATGAGATAGAGTTGGATGGTGACCACTAGAAAATACTTACTAACTGAATATTACATGATTTTTGATCTAGTCAGTAAAATAATACTCATGTTTGTGGATATAATCCATTTTGTATATTTCTAAGATGACTATTATGAAGAAAGACCATGATTTACTTGGAGGTAGTCAGTCAGGAATTTCGGACTTCAGTCCGTCAGGGAGTTCTAGTTCCCTCAAAACTCCAGAGACCCTTTACTAATGAGTCTCAACCGTCACGAGGTTTCCTCTCGAATGCTTTTGATATCAAACATCTGAACATAGTATTGACGATTTTGAGTTATTTAAACTAGTGATCACTGTAAGCTGGTCGATAGAATTTGATCAGCACCATAGGATAAGATAAACATAATGTTAATCATGGCTTAGGGATCAATCAGTTGTAAATTATCAAGTTTATTTCTGTTTTTTTTCATCAGATTGTAACATGAAACTATTAAAAAGTACTACAAAAGGAATGAGATGCATTCTAATAAGTGAATGAAGTTCATAAACTAACACTGATAACTCGTTTTGAATTGTCAATATTCGACATTTCACTATGATTTTTGTTGTATTAAAAATGAATATAAAAATATTGATTACGTATAATTATGATCAACTTAATTCCGCTTAACAATTACATGTTTGTGTGGACACACATACATAGGGAGGAGTAATCGGACTTTGCAATCAAGGTTTGTGGAACATGTACCTAAGTGGCTTCAAAATCAGTTAACGTCAGATGAGCCGATTAACGTTGGAAATAGAAAACCATGTTCATCAATCGCAAAACACATAATTGAGACAGGGCATAAGACTGACATCAAGACAGCCTTCAAAACATTGTATAGAAATGTTGAAGGACGAACTTCGAGGTTTATGGAGGCCTTGGCTATTAGAAAATTAAAACCCCCATTATGTGTGCAGAAACAATTTGTCATAACCTTGAATTACGTAAGAACTGTTTGGTTTTTGGGAAATGATTCGAAAAGCAAATATATACTTCTTCCTGATTCTGTGACCAAAGATTATAGGCTGTTGATTTGTCTAGATACATGTAGAAAACAGACGAGAATGTTTTCTCATCTACTCAGTGATAGTAATGTTTGATTTTCGCTTTGTTAAAAATAATTTAAAGTCGACATTGAAAACTACTGAATGTTTAGATGTAATGCAGTTTCTGTGAGACCCCAAGATCCTGAATTCAATCCTTGGTAATGTTCACTCCCATCGAGTCTCATTCTACAATGGAATATATGTTTAACGGTTCAGTAATTCTTAGTAGGATATTAAATGTGTCTGATATGTGGCTGATGGAAGCACATGTAGCTGGCTACTGAGTATACAATGAGGGAGGCAAATTACTGATTATGACAAACAGGAAATGCTTCTATTCACCTGTAATGTCAACTTTAATAGTTGAAAGAAACATAGTAATAATTATATGTGGAGTTACTGACAGTTTCATACTTTCATATTTTCTTAGATTACTAAAGTCATTAATGAATTCAATCAGTTTATTGAACTATCAAATTCACTAATATGGATCCCATCAATTTGTCAATGGTTTACACAATTTTGTTCACAATTAAAATTCGCATTTTTAAGCATGACTTTGAATTCTCTATTGGAAGTAGAAGAGAATAATGAAAAGATAAATGGGTTGATTGCAAAACAACAAATGATACCTGCAGTTATTTTGGAATTAACAATACGTATTTTTAACTGGCGAAAATTAGAGAAAGTTATCAGAATAGAAGATAAGAAAGATGAATTCAATAAAATAATGTAAGTGATTATTAAACTTGCAAAGCTCACTGTCCAATAATTATATATTATTCTTTTCGTTGTATGAGTATATTGTGCTGAGAATTTTCCTACTACAATGAAACACCATTTTTATATCATTGTATTTGTAGCGGTGATTCCTTGACAGTAATCGGTCACAATTATCACACTGTCTTATCTATTTAGTAAGAATTAATTATCGAAATTTTAAACATGATCAGTAAATTCAATTGGAAAGTAATAAGTTGTTTTTGATTTTGAACAAATTCCAGTTTTTAATTTCAGTCAATTACAAGCAACATAAAGAGCTGGCAAATGATGCCTCAATTCAAGCTGCTATGCTAAATTAACAGTGTAAAATGAAATTAGCAAGATGAATATCGAGGCAGGGGGTGTAGTAGTAGTAGTAGTAGTAGCAGTAGTGTCAAAAACTATGAAATAATACTGAAACTTTGAATCCAAAGGTTAAGAAAAAGTGAATGATACTGGACTATTTGAACTGATTTCGATCCTTCTAACTTTCAATCATTAATCACGATTTTCACACAGAATCCAACCACAATTGTACAATTTATATATCTTTACGTGAATTATTACAAAATAGACTGTTGAAAGTTATTAACTTTCTACAAAGCGGATAAAAATTAAATACACAGAATATATATTAGTTTTTACTTACCACATAAGTAATTGTACTTTTGATTTGAACATTTGCCTACCTTATCTATGTTTCATGCCTGACAACATCTTTTATGTAAGCATCAAATTCGTACTTGATTTAGTATTTTTTTTCTCAATAATGTTAGTTTACTTGCAAGTCATGGTTCATTTTTAAGAAGTACGTTGGCTTATTCAACAGTACAACATGAATGTATATTGAACAGTCAGTCACCTGATCAGATAGTGTAATTCAAATATAAGGTCATTAGCGATAATTAAATGTGACATTCATGGTAACCTTTGTGGATAAATATTAATCTCAGTAATGACAAGTGAATGTAATGCCAGTTCTATGAATCGAAAGTATCTGAGTGTCTAAAGAACATTTATTCTTCATAATTTCTATTCTACTGACCGTTGTGATACCTTTCAGTGAGTTACTCTTGTATGAGGTTCTTTCTGTCTGTTTTGTCTAATTTACAACTTAAAACTACTCGAGATATATTTAATAAGTGATCCAAATGTGAAAACCACAGATTTCACTGAATTTATTTCTTTCATTTTAATTTTATCGTTAAATAAAGTGAATACTTTGAAAAAGAACAATTAAACAATATTGTTGAATTATTGAAAGCTGTTTCATTAAATTCAATGAAATCCAATCAGTTGAATTCAAGAGTCAATCAATTGACATATCAAATTTTGATTGGAACAATTTTGGGATTTAGTTATTTAGTACAAGGTAAAACTTATTTTTATTGTTTTTGATGTTTAGTGATTTTGAAAATTATATTTGTGTGTTGTTGCATGTCCATTATACATGATGTCATAAAGTAGCTTTCGGTATGTTCAACCACTATGTTGAAGTGTATGATAATCGTAATCAAGTGTAAATCTATATTTAGATGTGTATCAATTAGTTTTCTTATGTGTTATCACATTTTCTTGTTCGATTTCATCGTTGATGTTCATTAGGACAGTTAACATAAATGAAACTACTTATGCTGAACAACTACTCCTAAATTCTTGTTATTTGTTAGACACAGCCATAAACTCTTCTGTGAATTTGAAACACACATTGTAACATTGTATGCTTATCCATTCATTTGACCGAAGTACTTTTTTAATTGACTAGCGTAAACCGTATTCACATAGACCATAATTTATAGTTCGTAGATTCCTGTTGTTTTCTATAGTAACATGATCATATTTGAGACTAACTTCGTCTTTTGCCTTTTTCATGAACAGTTTTAGCAGTTTGATCTTTTGAAATGCTATGCATTTAGAAATTTTCTGACACTCTTGAGATTTGTACCAAGAATTTTGACATTTTAGTGGGACAAAATTATTGTGATGGTGTTTTGTTCTCTGAGCTGGTTGTTTTGGTTGTGGAGCTTTCATTGCTCTTCTCTTCTGAACAACATCATCAGCACAAACTTCAGATAGAAGTGAAGCATTCGAATTTCTCCACGTTTGACCTGTAGCTTGTTCTGCTAACCTCGATCTTGATTGGTTGTTGTTGACCTTTAACCTGTCGTTGTTAGCAACTTTGTTTTGATTGCACCCCCCTTTCGATCTGTTTCTTGATCCTATGTCGCCTATGATTATACTGATTGGTTGATAAATTGGGTCAATGTCGATGTGTGAGTTGATTTCTGATTGACCTGAGTACCAAGCTTCTAAAAATTCTCTAGTGTTCTTTGTACTACCCCTATCCAGTATTTCCACATTTTTCCAATCAAATGTGTGTCCACAATTGTCGGTATGTATTGATATGAGCGAAGCGTTGTCGTGGCGTTTGACTGCTAATTGATGTTCACGTAAACGAATCGGAAGAGGCCGTCCACTTTGTCATATGTAGTGTTTTTCACAGTCTGAGCAATTTATTTTGTAGATGATATTTAATTTTTCTTCATTTGCATTACGGCGTTGTGAAGATTGTTAAGTTACACATTTTCGAAACCATGAACCGATCAATGTTAGACCACCATTAGAAACCTGGAAGCACTGGACGGCTGTTTCGTCCTGGTATGGGACTCATCATTTGTCATTTTGTCCTTTGGTTTACATAGGATTGATTGATGTGATTCTGTTGGTTTGTGTGCCACACCTATTCCAAATGGTTTCGGTAGTCGTGCTGTATATTCTGATATGTCTTTTATGTATGGCAGGATGATGCGTTTATTTGTTTTTGTGCTTGATTTCGCTTCTGATGTTGGTTTCGGTTGATGTTTTCTGATGAAGTTGCGTGGGTAGCCGTTCTTTTGGAATATAGTCACAAGGTGTTTTCCCTCGTTTTTTAGTGCTTCATATGTGCTGCAGTGTGTATTCGCTCTCTTGAACAAAGTTTGTATGCAGTTGATCTTTTGGGTTCTTGGGTTGTTGCAAATAAATCATAAATCCTGTGATGGCAATCAGTTAGAAATTAGGTTGTCACAACGGACTTTCCTAACAATTGTGGAATGATTAAAATGCTCATTTCCACTCAAAATAGACTTTGATTTTGTCCAGTTTGGTAAAGAAAGCTTTGCAACTAAACCATCCATTTCATATATTTATTCGACTAGATGTTGTTGAGTATTTCACTTCCTGTTTGATTGGAATCTAAAAGGTACTAGCAATGCACGATTCAATGTTATTTCAAACTTTCTAAGCTTCTAAACAGAGAACACTTTTTCATTACTTAAATTTTAAAAAACAGTTGGAGTTGTTTAAATTTTTTGAATACTTTGATAAAAAAGCGTTTTTTAATTGTGTAATTACGTATTGTAAACATAAACTAATCGCTTATGTAGCAATTAAAATATTTTTTTGCTTACAGATTTGAAAAAAGCGTCAAATTTAGATGAGAATAATTTTATTTGGCAACGATTAATTAAAACGCAGCTCATTAGTTCGATATTCAATAATAAAGGAAACGATAACCTGTTAAATGAATTAAATGAATACAATGAAATTCCAACAATTGGGATAAAACAATTTTCAACAATTCATCTTTATAAATGGGATAATCAAAGTTTACTGACCAACAATAACACATCATTTATACCTTTATTACCTACTTCACAAGAATTGATTAAACTTGGATCAGCATTAAATAGTCATCAGGTCAGAAATTCGAAACATATTTATCTATTTAATAAATCAAATTTCAACAGTGATTTTTATGATAAAAAAAACAAACAATCAAGCATGATGTATTTTAAGTAAAATTAAATCAAATTACGTACAATCATTTTCGATTCGTTCAATAATATATTTTCGACCGGCTATTTGAAATGTTTTCAGTACATTACCATATATTGTATCATTTTGGATGTGCTTTTGGATGATTACTCATTAAATGTTTTCCGAAATCTTCATCCAATCTACTGCATAACATTCTACAATCTATTGGATTGAAATAGGCTAACGTTAAATGGTGAACTATTTAAAACTAGGAAGTAATGGACAGCTGTTTTAAGCCTGTTCTGTAGAAGACAAACGTTACTTTAAAGGGTGTGGAAATCAGGATGTTTAACTATTGAGTTAGCTTTAGATCAATGAGTTAGTTTCCCAATTCATGGTATAGTACAGCAACCATCCAGTGTTATTTATGATGTTGGTCTCACATCTAATATGGCTGAGCCATACCAATTATAATTTTCAACTTGTTTAGACAATTCGAAAGGTTGGAGTATACGTTCTTCATTTGTGTGACTATATATCTTAACCGAACATTAGTAATACTATTTATTATTCCTGATAAAATCACTGCTGATCGGCAAAAGTTATATGAATAGAAGCTTACATAAAATTATAGAAATATAAGAATCACATTTAATTGAGCTGGGGCATCAAAAGTTTTGGGATGAATGAAAATTTCAATCAGGTCATTTTTCAATACGTTGAAACTTATCCGGAGCATTCTATTTATTTTAGGGTGTGAATAAGGGAGAAGTCATCATTTTATTATGTTTGGCAATACAAATACTCACCAGTAATGTAATCTCTTAACTGATGGGATATTGAAATAGCTGTTAATGATGTCGATGACACTTCTCCGATTCATGTAGCCTTTGTTCAGCGTCGAATCGGATAGAAGGACCTTTCTTTTTGATGATTACAAAATTCAGCGTTGTAGAAGTCGGCTCCTAAGCTCATTCCTCTCGTCAATCGGGTTTCATTTTATGTCATTAAAAATTGCTTTCACTTCAATATTTGTCGATTAGCTTCCATGTTAACATACGATCAAATACTTTAGATGGTTGTTTGTAAACTGTAAAAAATTTTACATGATACAAGTTGACTTTTAATTCCTAGTGTGAAGTTATGATTGGTTTAGTTTATTGATTTCGTATATAAGCCAGCAAACCACCGATTACGTTTTATGATTGTTATGCCAAAACATAGAATTGAGTAAAGTTAAGAATAGAGGTTATAAAGATTATGATCAATGTAAAATTCTATAAAAATCATTTTGAATGGTTTTAATTTGATTGATAATATTTGTTAAAGTAGGAAAAGATCTGTTGTGAAAATGGTCTTATCTTATTTGTATGAAAGATCAATCTTTGGTAAGAGAAACTAATGGTGATTAGATTAGATTATCTGTCATTTTTCCTTTTATGCTATATGAGTTCGTTTTTTTTGTTAATGATCAAATGAAGGTCTAGATTGTATGTTGAGCTTTATCTTATTGAAATAAGTCACACTGCATAGTTTTGATAGAATGATTAACCATTTGGGCAGTTTTCTCTTGTCTATTAGATTCTACTGAATTATCAATTGAAAAAAATGACTAAAATACAAAGCTTCATAGTATGAATTGTGATGGCTGAAAAAATGTGAAAATGTTCGTTTCCCTTCTTTTTCCCATTCGATTTGTTGATGCTGACGTGAAATGAATACGGTTGTTTTCTGTCTTATATTATGAATAGTTTTGCACAGAATAAAATTAATTATTGCTGTTATTGATTTTTTTGTGCACTTCACAGTTTGGATTATTAATTGGATCATTTGGGATTGGTAAACAGACAATGATTCGTCAATTAGCTTTTCTACTTGGTCGTTGTCTTGTCGAATTTTCATCAAACATATTCAATGATTATAATAGTTTAGATACATTTGAGAAGAAATTGAAAAATGATATTCTCAATTGTGCACGAGTGGGTTGTTTATTTTCAATTATGAATATTCATGTAAGTGATATGAATGACATTTTGCATAAGCTTATTCATAACTAAACACACTCTAAGAGGTCATAGTGAACTGCTTTATGTGGGATATATTACAATCATTTCATTGACCCGTGTCTATTCATCAAAAGTCATACAATTGAACAGTGTACCAGTAAACATGTTACTTTAAAAAAAGTTTCTTTTTAATAGATAATAAGTATCATTACTGACACTTGACACTGATGATTTTAAATAAATTGAGGAGTAGGCAGAGCCATTTAAAAATGACTGGAAAATAAAAATGGATGTTTAACGTTTTGTAACTTTATACGAGGAACACACATACAGACATTTTGTATCTTGCAAATTTTATCGTATTCAGAGCAAAAGTAACATTTTGGATATAAAAGATCTTTCAAATATTTATCATTCCATCTAGTTGAAACGGTCTTTTTATAATCAGCAGTACATTTTTGACAGCAAACGTAAGGTTGTAGAATTCAACACATTTAATATTATGGCTTATTGAATCAGTAGACTTTTGACAGACAGACAGACAGATACAACAGAGAACTTCGTACGTAAGTACATCAGTTCAGGTCGCCATACCACGTCAGCACGGAGATGTAACTGTCAGTTCAAATCCAAGAGTGATAGTGATAGTAGAAGTATTAGCAGTAATGGAGAAGATTAGGGAGCGAAGATATGATTCGAGAAGTATAATTCAGTAAGATAAATTTAGAAGGAGAAAGATAGAGATTATGAGGAATTCAGAAGGTTAGAATTAGAGAGAACACAAACAGTGGATGCACCTGCGCCATTGCAAACGAAGCTGCTACCTTGATGTGGTGGTCGGGCTTGCCTATCGTGATGACCCTACAGAGCTATATTGGCTGGAACTTATGTTCCTGACAAGCAAGTAGATTGGAGAACGATGAGAGTAAAAGCAGCTACTCAAGGTGTGTGGATGAAGTCGTACTGTTGACTGAAGAAGGGTGTGACAGCAGTAAGGTGTTTCACTCGGACAACCAGCATATGCAGTGATGCTGCTTTCTCACAAGGAAGAAAGGGTTAGAAAGGGTCAACCCTAAAAATGTCTCCCTCACCCTACCTTCACGGATTTCCGTCTCCGGCGGTAAGGGTGCCCACTAAGGGCTTTCAAGAGCGGAGCTAATACTCAAAAAGCCCTTCATAAAAAGGCCGTGCGTGACCGGCCTCAAGCAGTTGTCCCTTGGACTCTGCGGTCACGCACCCAGGTCTCTAAGACCAACACTAATCTACCTTCTTTTTCAGGTTCCTCAAGAAACAACCTTCCACGGTGTGGGCAGCCGGGAAGTGACAACCGCCCTCATACCCGTAACAACACACGAGACCTAATTGGTCAAAATCAAGTCCTTCCTATCCCTCTTAATATCTTACTTATCTCTACGACTGACTTTTCTCACATTCCTTTATCACACAGTAGACTTTTGAGTTTTATACAGACATTTATTTAGTCTTCTTTTATAGCTTACAAACGTTTTAGTCTAAGTCAAGACTTCGTTAGAATGCTTCCCTTAGGCCAAGCATAGAGAGTTATCCAAATGATATCAACGAATCTATTTTCTCATACATGATACCCAGTGTACTGTTGAGTTTGATTTTATTTTTTTTTAAATATAAACTGACTGTAAACTATAAACTATCTAATAACTGGTAATTTATTGTTTTGAATATTTTCAAATCAATAACTAAAGAACTTAAAGTTTGGAGAGTTGGAAATCGTAATAAACTGTTTGAAAGAAGTGCAGAAATGTAATTTCATAAACGATAATCAGATTCACGTGAGTTACTGTCATTATTTTTATTAAGCTAGTTTGATGGCTTTGAAAAGAATTTTCTATAAACGAAAATTAAATTTATTTTATTTTAGTTTTGCACCTCACAACAGTGTTCATTCACTGCTGCATTTTGATTATTGAGCTCAGAACATTAATTGTTACATATTTTTTCTATTTCAGTCAGTTTGAAATACAATATAATCTACATTTAATTTCTTCAGTAGTGACTTTCTCCACGAATAATATTTTTTAAGCCTAACCTTTTTTACTTCTGTTACTAATTCTACTACGATGGCATCTACTTAAATAATTTCTATTTGATTGTTATGATATGGTATGAGAAATGATGCAAATATGTGCCAGTTTGTAGGTGTTGCATACAATTGACTGAGTGACATTTATCAGCCTTCTACTGGAACGATACAACTATCTAGTACTTTCTGATTAAAAATTCGTTTACCTTTAAAGAAGTTATTTTGGCAAGAAAATAGTGTTGGCTGGTAGTAACTGAGCACAACTGGTTTCCCGGACTCGATTATTTACGTATACTGCATTAAATCAGTTTAAAATCAACTTATTATTCTTTCTAATTTTTTCTCAGTTTTCTTCAAGAATTTGTGTTTCATTCATATACGATGATTCTGTAGATCAGTATTGAAGTACTCAGCTGTTTAACAGGTTACTTTTACCTTTTCTTTCTAGTTTGTAGATTATGCAAAAAATCTTCAACAATCCGTTGAAAATATCAACAAAAATGGTATGCATTCAACTTTACTATTGAATAATAAATTGTTGTCGATGAAAAAAGATGCATGTTTATAATATGTACAAAAAGTGAATTTATTTATTGTCTTAAGAAGTGACTTACAATAGTGAATAACGAATTGTTCAGTTTATTAAAAAATTCTCATATTAAATCTGTTTATTGATACCTAATTAATGAAATATCGTCTCCACGGTTTTTAAATTTGTTGAAATCAATAAATATTTTAAATAAGATGGGATATTTAAATTTAAACAGACATGATGAGGTTATGAATGTACTACTGAAATTACAAGTTCTTTATGAAGTTATATATTCCACATTCATCGCAACTTACGACGTTTGCGGTCGAGTTTCAGTTCTCTGAGCTGGATCTTTTAATTGTGGAGCTTTTTATTGTTCTTCTGAACTGCATCATCATCATCAGCAACGGTGACGACGACAACAACGACAGACTACCAGAAGTTTCTGCTGATGATGCTGTTCATTAGAACAATAAAATCTCCGCAGAATTCTACCATAATCATGCATCTGAGCTATACATTTTCTCCATCATCTTGCGAAGTTTATATTAATCCAGTGGTCAACTTCATCTTTAGTAGATAAGAAAAAACCCGTAGGTGGAAAACGTTGAAAATCGTCAAACTACACCAGTTATCAGTCCTTGAAGTTATTTAATATCATTCATCATCATACAGATGGAAAGAAGTTAGTGCTTTATTGTTCAAGAATCGATTACAATGACCAACTTATTTTGTTGCATTCAAAAACTACTTTCATAACTCCAACTTACTTATTTATTGCATGTTGATGATTAGCTTTATTTATTTTATTTTATTTAAAAGTTATTACCATGTTCAACTCCATACTATATTTGTTTATCATTATTGCTATTAACCTTTCAATAAGAATATCAATCTAGTTGAAATTCATTAGGTATTTCAGATTAAATATAATGTGAATTAAGTCAGATAATAACTGACCCAAGACTACCACAGTTTCTTTACTGTTCCAGATCTCGTTTATGTCAAAAGAAAATTCGGTTGTTTGTGCTTAATCAAGTTCAATTTAAGCGGAAATGATATAAGTACACCTTGAAAATAATATAAAAATTTTCGTCTATTGGAAATGTACCAACGACTGATCTCTAGGGAGAATTTAGATAGATAGAAAATCATAGAAAACGGAAAATCACTGCATAGAATAATGGAGATCATTATCTTTAGCGGATAAGTTCCATACCAGGATCCAGAACGGCCGTCCAGTGTTTCTAGGTTCCTAACAATAATCATTTCACTATTTCAAGCATAACTTTTCTCATGTCTCAGCATCATTTACACATATTTATACAGACCTATACTTTTATTAATTAAGCTGTCAATAACATAGAAGCACTGATAAGGAGAATAGATAAAAATTCATTCTTTTCAATTCATCTAAACAATAAACAGAATAATGAGTCAATAAAACCTCCTTAATTACCAATTCATTAGCTGTTATGTTATTTTATGACAAAAAAGTCATCAAAATCCAAATTTCTATTTCAATATTAAACCAACATCTAAATCAAAAGAGATTAATTAACACTAAACTTGTTTAGTTCAATGCAATACGAACGAATTTCATGTGAATAATAATTACTTTTTTTCTCTGTACACACTGTTTACGCATTTACTAGAATTGTGATTGCATTTTTACAAAAAAGAATATTTTTCAACTTGACAAAGTTTTTTCTTTTTTAAAAAAATGTTTGTTTCATTCATCCTAATCATAATTTAATCTCTTATTCTTCAGGTCATAAATTAATGATTTTTCATCAAATGAATCATTATTCACACAGTGCTTGTTCAAAACAATGTTTATTTAATCAACATGTTGCCATTGACCCCGGTTTTGGATTATTAGGCACATTTGACTCTGGAAATTATCAGCATCTTTCAAAAGGACAAAGAGTAAGATGGTCATCTCCCTTTTTTTCGACTTTTCATTCCTTTATTTTGAAATAAAAATGCCGAAGTGTATAGAGTTATCCAGACCAGTAACTTGGGTAATTAGCAAAACTTCAACCACATTGAAATTTGATTTTATGCTTTGGCAATTCATAGTGTATGCATAAAATTACGATAGTTAACTTTTATGTCTCAAATTCGATTGCAGGATAGAGGTTTGTACATGTCAGTGTTAATTTTAACACTGGAACTTGGATGCAGTAGACATAACTTTAGACGGCAAGTTATCTTCGAAGCTACCTATTCAATCTATAAAAATTATTTTTAAAGGTTTGAATTTCCCAGTTACTTATGTTGTAAATTGCAACTGGCAAGTCTCTCTTAGCACATGTGCATCCTGAGAAATCTGTTTCAGTAATGTTATTTAGTCAACAAATTTTAGTAAAGCTGATTTGAAGTCCTTAACATAGACAACGGAAAACTATCAGGTTTTATAAGCTGCAGTTGGATGATTGAAAATTGTTTTCATCCAAAGCATACTGCCTTGTTAAACTATTCCAAAGATTAAGTGATTCTATAAACGAATTTTCAATATCAATCAATATACTGATTTTACTATTTACATAATTCAGCTTTCATTTCGTAATATAACCATTGGATGCCCAAATTATTCATTCATTGTTCAATGTCTGCTCACATACTATTTTCCTGAATATCAAAGTCAGTCAGTAAAACTTCGACTAGTCAGTCTGTTCGACAGATCATTAACATATTTTATGAATGAATCAATTCCAAATTACAAACAAACAAATATTTACTATTTATCATTATTATTTATAATAAGATCATTTGAAATTGCTAAGCAGTTTTGGTTGGAAAAATTTCATCATCTTCAAGAAAAGCGTAAACAAACTGCACTGAAATCATCGTTGATATTAAGAAAAGAAGAGGATAGATTAGCTCAGGCTGCAATTATATATGGATTGACCAAAGTTTACAGGATAAATTTATCAGCCGATCATATTAAATATAAGCCTGAAAACATTTTAATTCAATCCAACTTAAATTTCAATTGGTTATTAGCCATTGAACAATATTTATCCTTAAACTCAGCCATACCTTTCGTGCACAATGATGAGGAGCATTTAAAATGTGATAATTATATATGTCCTAAAGTTTCATGGGAATTTATTCATCGACTATTGAGAGAAATTAGTGTATGTAATTTAGAAATAATCGATAGTCAGTTAATAAAGGTAAGTGTATACACATTTTGATTATCTTTCAATTACTGCTCTGTTGGATATATTTTGCGAAATAAGGTTATATACATTCAGTATAGGATTGTAGAGATCGTCGAGTTTTACTGAAATCATGAATCGACCAAATATGGACCACTATTAAAAACCTGGATGCACTGAACGGCCGTTTCATCTCAGTCTGGTACTCATCAGTCGTGACCAGTAAAGTTCAGCCATTTCGGTTGTAAGGCATTTTAATCATAGAAAACAACGGATTGAATCATTCAGTATTGGAGATAGTTTGACGTCGGGCATTAACACCGTTGGCTGCGGGCTCAGAGGTTTTGTTCGACCGCAAAGCTGTTTAATTCCCGCATGTGATGGCTGATGGATGCACTTGGTTAATGAATCCTGTACTGGGATGAAACGGTCGTTCAGTGCCTCCAGGTTTATAATCAGGGTCTAACATTGATTGAATCATGATTTCAATAAAAGGTTGTTAATATTTTATCTATCATTTTTGTCTTCCGTGTAATACTTTCCATTTTGTGGTAGGACGTTTTATTTCATTATCTTTAACATAACTATGATAAAAAAATCTAGAAATCTAGGTTTTCAACTGCTTTTTTCGACATCAAGGTTTGAAAGATATCTGAGATGTTTTTATGGGAATAATGCATAAAGAAATAGGATCTTTATAGGTGAATCCGAATGTTGAGTAAGTATCCTAAAGAATGGAAGAATGATACAGAGGACTAGGAAAACTGCGAGTTAATCAGCTCAATAGCTCGATGTTTGATTGTTTTCAGGAATGTTTTAAACAACAGAAATAGTGGAGAGAAATAATAATGTGCATATGAAAAGTTTTTCAATGAAAATTAAGTTAAGATATTCCTAGTGTTTAAATATGAATTTTATAAGATACAAATTTGAGTATTTATTAAACAGATTAAGGCATATATTAAGGTTTTTAATTGTTTCTAATATGAATTTATGATAAGGGAAATTATTTTCTTTGCAGAATATGAGTTAATAGATAATTTTGCCAATTTTATTACATCGTTTAATCAGAATTTCAACTGATTTTCATTTTAATTTCATGTTAAAAGAAACAAAAAGAGGTAACTTGGCGAAATATTTTGCTGTTAGGAAACAGGTAGCCTAAATATTTAAGCAGGCCATCATAGGTTTTGATAATTGAAAAGTTTTATCAATGTACTTTAACGACCATCTTACCTGCTTAATTGCATACGCTTGTTACCCCTAATGCAGCATAGACCGCCGACCATCATTCTCCAACCAACCTTGTCCTGAGGCTTCCTTTCCAGTCCTATCCGATTGCTGTCCATTCTTTTCATATCTTATTCTAATGCTTGGTGTAGTGTCTTCTTCTTCACCTTTGGCCTAGAGGATTCCAAATGAGTTTATCTTGTAACATAGCTAGTTGCTTTTTTCAATGTTTATCCTATCCACTTCCAGCGCTTTCGCCTAATTTTTTCCTCTGCTGCGATCTAGTTTGTTCTCTCACATAGTAGGTTGTTGCTAATGGTATCTGACCAACGAATCCAATTTATCTTGCCTAGACAACTGTTAATAAGCACCTGCATCTTGTGGATAGTTTTCGCAGTTCTCCAAGTTTCCGCACCATACAGTAGAATCGATATTGGTATTAAAAATTTTGACTTAAGTGTTTGCTGATAGGTGTTTAGAGTTCTAGATATTCTTCAGCAGTGAAAATGCCGCAGTGGCTTTGCTAATCCATGTCTTTACATCTGCATCAGATCCACCTTGATAATCGATGATGCTGCCCAACCGTGTATAGGTTTCCTTATCTTCCAAAGCTTTCCCATCAGGTTTTATTTGGTTGGTGCATGTTGTATTGTATTTAGGTGTCTTTATATTCTCCCTTGTGTATGTTGAGACCTACCGCTACAGAGGTTGCTGCCACAATGACCGTCTTTTCCTGATAGAATAGAAGCCATAGATTATCTGCGAGGTTCATACCGTCCATCTGCAACTGAGCTGTCCTCCATGTTTCGTGCCCCCTAGGAGATGTTGACGTCTTCGAAATCCAGCCGACCATGAGGAAAATGGGAAGGATAAGAGTATGTAACCTTGAGTGTGTTACGCCTGCACGTAAACACGTCAACTTGATATGCTTGAACTATTACGAGTTTACTTAGTCGAAAAACGAGAGCGAGGATCGAGGATCCGGCGACATGACATGTTATTGAAATCCGATTATCCCAACCCCCATAGTGAGTAAAAATAAGAAGACTTGATATGAAATAGAACCTGTATTCTACAAGCACCCAGAAGTACGATCTCAAAATCCAGAATAGAAACAGGATCCTGGACTAGGGATCCCCCTTTTGATCTGTTTCTTGATTTAGTGTCACCTATGATTTTTTCAACTGGTTGATAAATTGAATCAATGTCGATGTGGTTGTTGATTGCTGACTGACCTGAGTGCCAAGCCTCTAAAAATTCTCTAGTTTTTTTTGTGCTACCCCTATCCAGTATTTCCACATTGTCCCAATCGAATGTTTGTCCATAATTTTCCGTATCTATTGATGTAAGTGAAGAAATGTCGTGACGTTTGACTGCTAATTGGTGTTCACGTAAATGAAGCTGAAGTTTGTGCTGGTGATATCGTTCAGAAGAACAATGAAAGCTTCAAAATCAAAATATCCAATCAGAGAATGAAGCATCACCACAATTATCCACCTGAGTCACAAATCTGATCCAGAGTATCCGCAGAGATCCATTCCTTATGACGGTGGTTCTTGTAACCCAGGAACTCATAACATGTTAAGGTGATTGCCTCCCTAATCCTTTTCCAGTTGTTCTATATCGTAGCTTCCTCTTCATTAAGTAGATCGTTTTAGACCTAGAACCTATTGCTGGGTCCAGCTTGAATTCGTTGAATTTTGTCAGTATCCCGAAGGAAGGCCGTACCAAACTTTTACGATGCTTTTCGACCAGCTGTTCAGTGCTCCCTTGGCTTCACTTTCATCCAGTCTACTACGAACTGAAGTTATATCAGATGTCTCTCGGTTCCTACGTCCTCGATGCTCCTTATGAACTTTTTATTGATGTGGATTTGGTCAATTTGGTTCTATACAATATTACCCGTTGAAATCCATGTTGCTTTGTGTATGCGTTTGTGTGGGAAAATGATGCTGCCAATGGCCAGTTTGCTGACGGCACATGAGTTGCAAATCTCTCACAGTTTCCGTTTCTTTTTCACAGTCCATATTGTCGCATGATGTCTTCATGTTCAACCTGGATGTTTAGGTCTGTCACCAGAATGGTCACTTCTTTGGTTAGGCATTTCTCGACGATTGAATGCAGCCTCTCAGGAAACTGATCTTTGTAGTCCTCACCTGTTTATACGACGTCTTTAATAAGAAGCCAAATGCGGATTCGGTTAGATGAGTTTATTTCAGATTTTCATCCTAGAGTTTATTTCAAACAATCGTTCTGTCCTACACTTGGAATATTCAGTGTCAAATTTACCGTCGAATCTTATTGAAACTTGTGACCACGAATCTAAGAGACGTGTAGAATATGGCAATCAAAATGCAGTATTATTGACACATGTAGTACTATTATTATGAAATTATAGTGAATGCACTAAAAACAATAATTCTTGTGGTATCTGCGATAGATACAGTGTCGATGAATAACCGAAGAAGTATGCTTCAATAAATAATGTTGTACCAAATAGCTGCTTTAAAACTTCAAGAGCAGATCTCATTGAGAGATCAGAACCAACAATATCAAAAATGGAAACTGTTACAGCAAAAACAATTCAATGAGTACACCAGTATTAGAAATAGCTGTTACAAATCTTAAGATGATACAACCGGATAGACATTCACGTTCTATATGCCCCTCCTAGGTTATTGGCATTGAAACTAACTGGTTGTTATATGTTAATAATTAGCATAATGAATACATATAAAGCAGTCGGATTAGAGGAGAATAAAAAATGACAAACTCAGTAATTATGAAATTGGCGACTTTTGTGAACAGAACTTCTCAAGTAAAAAAAAAAACTCAAAATCTTGAATAAACGTGTAATTAAAGCCTTTTCTGAGTAAGTAATTTGTTTTTTATTCTAATCTATTTATCTAATTTAAATTAGTTTCTTAATTTTCTAGAAATTTTCTTGAAATATTTTTTTAGATAATTGAATTATGGCAATTAATTCATTTAAATCATCCTATTGTAATTACTGGTCCGGTTGGATCAGGTAAAAGTACCATTTTAAAAATACTAATTTCTGCAATCAATTGGTATCATAGTGTAGACAGAAAAAAATCGATTAAGTATTTTTCCTCATTCTCAAAGTCAACTCAATCGTCACCATCCAAATCATCATCGTCATCGGCAACAACAGCAGCATCATTTGAATTATCGCCATCATCAACACGGACATTCACATCACCATCATCATACTCGAAAGAATTCGATTCTTTTTCAATTCAAAACAAGCAGAACAATGAAAGTCAGTCAAAAAATGATGACGATTTCACATTAAAAGAGAGTTTGAAATTTTTCAATATCCCAGGTACATTAAATTCATATCTTAATAAGTTCGATCTTATTTCAACACATTCCAATTTAAACCAATCTAATGTCTATGAGAAAATCATTTCATTCAAACACTTATTTCCTTATTCAGATGAACATTTAATGAATTTCTGTCTGAATGATAATAATGTTATTGAATTAGAAGTTGATAGATTAAATATCAGTGAAGAATGGTTATTGTTGGATTTAAGTGATCAATCAATTGAATATTTGACATTTTTAAATGATATTAACCAACTGAATTTATTGAAAGCAGTTAAAACTTCAAATTGTAAGTTTATACTTTATTGTTACGAGGTTAATTATTGTTATCTATTAGAGAATGACAGATTATGCATTCGTCAGATTTCATAATTTCTGTTCATTGATATTCACAACTGTAATTGATCAGTCTGTATAATATCTGTTCGAGTTGTTAGTACATAAAACCAAGAATTCCTATACTCCATGATTTTACAAAGCTAAGGCTTGTTCATGATGAAAATTATTCCCTTAGAAAAAACAGTTTAAACATTCATTAGATTATTAATTTTTTTTCTTTCAAAAGTGGAAAACCCAAACTTATCTACTGAAAGTTCTCTATACATTTGAAGACAACACATGATGTTTTTTGTGAGATTGAAAATTTTGCTTCAATTCAACTGCAAACAGCATTATCATCAGACACAGAATGTATGTCATGTATGTAATCAACAGAACAACCCGAGTTTCAGTTTATCGAGGCACTTCAGTTATCAAATGATTGGATATTTTAACAGATTAGCTAACTCATCAAAATAAGCAAACCTACAAGTGAAACTTCGTAGATGTTTATAGTGTGTTTGACAAACACGCAGATTTGTATGAGTTCAAACTAAGCTTTTGAATAAACCTATTTTCACGGAAAGCAGTATTATTTCCTTCCCATATGCATGCTAATATAAACGGATATATATATATATATATATATATATATATATATATATATCAGTGTCTGAACGTATCTATCTGCATATTAATTCCATTTGCTCAGTCAAATGCTAATTATTGAGGCTAAGTACTTACATATTTCAATGGTAAATATTAATTACTTAATTCTTATCTCTCATTATTCGCATAGTGATTGTAGCATTTATGTTATCTATCAGAAATAAGTTATTCTAACTATCTCGTTTCACCTTCAAAAGATCATACACCACTAAGAATTATCGCGACAACGGTTATCCAAGTGATGTGTATTCTAAGTATACGAATAAACTGGCAGATACCATCTAGTGGTTTTATTATTGTAATGGGTTTTCAGCAAGTGATTCAATGTAATGATGTTTATTAAAATGTCCAATATTTTTGTCTAATTCCTGCTCTATGAACATCGGTAAACACACATGAAACTAGGGCGTAAGCTTATGTCACCATGATTTTAAATATAGCGAATCGTGATTGATCGAAATCTGATAAGTTCGTCACTTAGTATGCTTGAGGCTATTACGAGTTTACCTTAGTCGATAAACGCGAACGAGACTTTTACCAGCTTCCAGGGAGGCTACCTTGAATCCGAGGCTGAAGTGAAAAGTCTTTGTAAGCGTAGAAAGTATATTCTATAAACACCCAGCAATCACAGTACAATCAAGCATACAACTCTCGATTATTTATACAACATAAGAACGTCCTTGAGACCGTTAAGAAAATAGCACAATAAAATACACAGCAGCCAATCACAGCCATGGATTTTCCTAGTGGGAATTGAAATCTCAAGGTCATCTGATCAGCCCATGCTGGCAAAACGTGAAAACCAAAATACGGCATTATCAAGCGAATTTTGGGGATCTAACATCCCCTACAAAATCAGCCTCTAAATATATTATAGAAAATGGATAAAATTTTAGGTTTCCGTCTAATGCTTCAAATAAACGATTAACCAACTTTATAAATTATGCAGAAAAATAATTTAATTTATTTGTAAAACAGTTGTATTTTATTTTAGAGACTAAAAAACATATTTCAAACATAAAACGTTTACCTACAAGGATTGTTATTTCAACAGTCATTGTATATATATCCTGACTCTTTTAAGTAATATACTTCTTGGTTGTTTTGAAGATCATAACATTTTCAACATGACAATCAGTTAGGGGAGTTGTAAAAACACACAAGAGATTATATTTATTTATCAATCTTGTCTAGAACTTCACTTGTTTCCTCATTGATATGCTTTTTTATATAGTACAGTGTGTTATTCTATTCATTAAATTATGGTTAATCCTGATATTCACTAGTGACTAGTGCATCATCAACTCCGACACACTTATACTAATGAATCTGAAATGGAAAAATATCTATCTCTATTTTTGACCAAAGTTAAATGGAAATAAATGAGCGCGTATGAATAATCGGATGATCAGAAATGATTGATTTATGTGTGTGTACGAATGAAATGCAACATAAACACCAATTTACTTGTACTGTTGAGACAAAATTGAAGACTGAATACATTTAACATTATCATTTACACCATGTGGTCACCAAAACAAAAATAATGCTTCTCCTAGTCATTTTAACTGTTTTCAACAGTATACAAAATTACTTTCATTCCTTGTTATATATGTGAGAGTTGAACCGTGTGCACGAAAAAGTGAAACGTTACATTTGTCAATTCTGACTGGCTATCTCTTAATCTATAAATTTTACTGAGAATATAATACAAATGAATGAAATTATAGTGAAAGATTATTTTAATTAATTTTTCCTTATTTTAAAAAAATAAATTATAATTATTATTATAGTCACAAAGAAATGGTTCATCGAAAAAACAACCATAGATGATTTCTCTCCAAGTTTAATTCATCAATTTTCAATTTTGTCCACTGAAGTTAACAACGTATTAAATTGGTTACATTTATGGAGAATTTGGCGTAAAACATGTTATTCATCATATATGATCATTCAAACAATGTAAGCTATTTTCATTTTTGAGAAAATAGTGTTTCGGACACTACAAAAAAAATAGTATTTACGCTCAAGTTGTATTACATTAACTGATCATGAATAGTGTAGTAATATTTAGCAAGTTAAATTTAGAAAGAAAAATATTAGTCAATGAAAATGATTCACTGTTGGTTTAAGCCCATTTCACACTGTGTGATTATAGTTCATGTGATGATCAAGATCAGGTCACATGACCCTGGATCGATCAACGCAGCTCGAATGTATCTAGTTCTTGTATTCTTTCACCATCTCTGTTGTGAATTTCATTCCATCCGACTGCTATGGTTTAGTAAGTTGGTGGTCTAAAACACATTGAAGCCAATCTCTAGAGTTAATAATAAGGATGACTGAATGATTGATTGACTTAAAATAAAATATTACGGATTGGTTAGAGTTAGACAGGTATACCATGGAAAGCCAGTTCAGTGGTCAAGTGTGGGACAAATGAGTCCTAGGTCCGATTCCATGTTCCTAGGTCGTGGTTTTACACTGTCCCACACTAGGATGAAACAGTTGTCTGTCTAGTGCTACCACGTTCCCGATATTTCTTTAAATTAGATAAGTTTGTCATCTCAATCAAAATTCAACGATTTCCACAATTCCTATACTGATATGTTTTATGAAGTTGATTTTTCAACACACCATTAGATTTTCTGATGCGAATAGAATATTATGCATCAGTAGATAGAGTTGTTAGCTAATTATGTAGTTAATTAACTATTATTATTGAGATATCTTGTTAAAATGTTAAATGTAACGACCAGTGAATGTTGCTTCAAGGTTTTAGTCAATCATTAATATATTATTCATAGTTTTTTTTCTTCTAAACGTTTCGCGGTCAATCTCTATGATACATTCGTTAAAATCTTGATAAATAAATAAATAATTTTCTAGATCAGTAGTAAGAAATATCGTAAAGTCCACTTTTTTCAAACTAATTTGTAACTGAATGAGTATTGTAAGTTGTTTCTTTCAAGAAAAGTGTAAAAATGAAGTCATTTGTTATTAGCTAAGTGGATTTGAGTGTTTATGATTCGTTAACTAAATACGATCACTTGACTGAAACTTGTGAGTGAGCAATCGAAACTATTGTTTATCGACAAAACTAAACAAATAAAGCCTTACAAATCTTTCAAATGTGATCGTTTGGTGATGATTTTGCTCTTTTCGACGATGAAGGATGATTAACAGATGAGAGAACTATGCAATAACAAATTTTCCATACAATTTTGAAAACTGCTTCAAGATATTCAAAAACCTTGGGAGAATAGTACTTAAAGTAATGCTTCGAGAAAATTAATTATTTTAGGAGTGCATGGTAGTATTTTTAGGATTGTTTTCAGTAAGAGAAACAAAGGTAAGCCAAGTTGATCGGTACAAATAGGGAGTAGTTTGAATAGAATAACATCAACGTACACTCAATTTTGTAGAGTAAGGTATTATTTATAACGCCAGTTTACGTATTAGTCTGTCGTTTGTTATATTCTACAATCGATATATTTAAACACTGAATTTAGAATTTCATGCAAAGTTTAGCTACATCATGCCTACTTATTTTGTTTTCTTCTAAAATAACTTTAGATGGGAAAAAATTCTCAATGAACTAGTTGATCACATACCGAAATTATTAGATCAAACTTGGGAGTTGATGAATCAATGGTGTTTTAGAGATGAAAATAGTTCTTATCATTTATGGAATATGAAATCTTATAAGAATGCATTTTGTCAACAAACTATAAGAAATTGTTTATCTTTAATGTCTGAAATGTTGAATCAATATTTTTTAAAAGAAATATGGGAATTACGCAAAGATGGCATAAAACCATGTAAGTAGTGATAACTTCAACGTTTCTAAACTTTTTATTTGATCGAATAGAACTGTACTCTGCAAAATGTTTGAAGTAAGATCAGATGATTTCATTGTTAAAGTGATGAATTAGATTATTTAAAGCAATCAGTCCCTTTTATAAATTTTGACAGAGCTATGCGAAGACATTATTGATCTGAAAAATATGATGTATTTGCTCTAGACACAGAACAATCTGGTCATATATATATATATATATATATATATATATATATATATATATATATATATATTCATGTTAAGGCATTTTATATGAAAATTAATAAAAGGTCAATTAAATACAACTTCAAATAAACCTAAGGTGACAATTGTATATAAGGGAGGGAGGAGATTAGCCTTATGGAAACCATAAGAAATTGTCACATTATTCTAGGCCATAAAATAGCTTAAAGATTACCAGCGTGAATTCAAGGTTATAAACAAGCTGTATCTGTACACATAATGGAGTTTTGAATTTACGAATAACCAAGACTTCCACAAACTTCAGAATTCATGCTTGAACGTTTCTATACAATGATTGAAAGGTTGTCATGATGTCAATCTTATTCTTCGTTTAGTTATTTGTCTCGTTATTCATGAATATGGTTTTCTATTTCCCACGTTTATTAGTTCATCATCTTACGTTAATCGGTTTCGAAGCCATTTGGGTACATGTTCCATAAAAAATTTCGTTTTTCTTGTTTTGTTGGTTTTTGAACTTTACAAGTGTAAATATAATAATAATAATAATAATAATAACTTATCTGTTGTCTTAGGTAATGAGACTATGCAGTTGATATTCAATCAATGAGACAACTCTTTAGAGTGCTTCATCAGAATTCAAATCATAGATCAGATAA